AAACCCAATGATGGAATATGATTAATTAAAATTTTGATATTTCCAGCCTTCCTACAGGACACGCATTCTGCCACCTGCTCAGCATCAACAAGACACTGTAGAACTACGGCAGCTCTTTTTCCAGCCTGGCACAATATACCTCGGTAACGGAGTACACTGAACCTCAGAGGGAGGTTAACCTTACTTGTGGTGCCAAACGAAACTAACGGTCTGCGAACATTTACAGACATTCTTGCCTACTTCAGAAACCCAGCTACCAGACAAAAGAATGCATTCTGCACCTAGAAAATACTGAAATCAGAACTCTCTGAAAACATTTGAGATTTAGTTCGAATTCCTTTCTAATGAGGGGGGAAACATCGGGGAAGTTGTTTTCTTCCCCTGTGAGCTCATTTATGCTTGCCCATACAGCTATTTATTGGAGGAGAACTTGGCATAGGGCTGGAGTGAGACCCCTGTGAATTGCTGTGCTCACTGACTCAGGCTGCAGAAGAGAAGTAAATAAATAAGAGTTTGTAAAAAAAGTCTCGTGTAGCACCAAAGAGGGCCTTCTTCAGAAACCAATGCCTCTATAGGTAAAAATGTGGATTAGATTAGTTTCTAATTAATTCTCAGGTTCTCTGTCCTCTGCTTGGACAGGTGCTGACTGCAGATCTCTCTCTACTCAGCAGCTCTAAGGCTGGCTATCCCAGCAGGAGCAGTGGGGGACAGTAGCCAAGTAAACCAAGGCCTGCGCCCTGTCCTTTCTGTTACGTCAGTAAACCTTAAGGAGCATAAAAGATATTCCTCGGATAGCAAAAGTGTTATGCAGTAAAGGGTTGTGTTGTGCAGCAGGAGAGGTGCCATTTCAGATCTGAGGTTAAAAAAGCTGCTGCACAACAGGGCAACTCCCTGAGTTGCCTTCACCAGCAAATCAGCAAAGATTTTCCTTCTCCGGAGAGGTGGGAACAGGATCTCACAAGCGGATTCCAGCTGTGCCTCAGTGTAGCAGTTAGCTCGTCTTTAACTTAAAGGTATGAACGCCCACCAACTGAACCCGGGAACAACATGGCGTCCCGTAACCCCCTCATGCACGACTGCAGCTCCCAGCATGCCCTGGGGCGCGCCTGCTGCTGTCTGACCCCGCGGGGACACTGGGCGTGAGATGGACAGAGGGCTGAGGAGATGGACAGAGGGCTGAGGAGATGGACAGAGGGCTGAGGAGATGGACAGAGGGCTGAGGAGATGGACAGGGGGATGGGACATGAATCCGAGAAAAGTAAGAAGAGGTCTCCCGCAAGCGGAAGGGCCAGTTGTAAAAGGAAAACAGGAGACTTAGCAATTCAGGGGTGTCAGCCTGTGTAAAAAGATACCAGATCTGCTCTGTTCGGGTGATTTACGGATGAAAGACTTCACAACTAAGGGTTGTAAAGCAGGTATGTTTATTCGGCGCCGGGCACATGGGGGATCGCTCCGCCACAACAAACATGTGCGCTCCCCTGCCGCTCTAGTCTTGCTTATATGTTACAAAGTGTTGCATATTCATGAGACTCCTATACATATTCATAACCTATTCCCGCCTACCCTCGCTTCTTATTAGAATTAGGTCTCCTCCTCCTTGCGGCTGCGCAGTGAGTTCCTTTGGTCCTGGGCAGGGGTCGTGAAGAGCTGGGCAGTGGTCGTGGGAGGAGGTATCTCCTCTACCTCACTGCTGAACTTTTCATCCTGAATTCCTGCGCAGCCTCTGTCGCCTCCTGGACCCGGGCTAAACCGCAGAGCTGGTTTGTGCCGGTTGTGAGGTGATCTTTTGCTGATACACACTTATTTAGGGAAAGGAAAGGGGGCCCTGTTTTGAACGGGAAGTAAAGGCAGAGCAATACAAACAATGTATCTTGTCTCGTGCAAGCATGATACCAAATTCAGCTAATATCCCATTTCACGGGAGTGATAGCTACCTTTAGAGCCATTGGGGCTTCTTGTCAGGTGAACTTAAGCATTAATTAAGGAGCGTAAAAGATACTCCTCGGCTAGCAAAAGCAGAACGGGATGAAGGGGCTTGACATTTTCAGAACTGCTCTCCCATATATTATAACTACGTAGCGTGAAAAGTTTTACAAGAGGTTCCCCGTTCTGGACCTCGCTACTCTCTTCCAGGGATCTGTCTGTGCCCAGCGGGCAGCAGCCAAGTTGCCCCAGGGGAGCCCCCAGGGTCTCCCCACCTTGCTCAGCCCACTTTGAGGTCAGAGCTGCCACTGTGACGTCAGAGCTGGCCGCCTATAAAGCCCCGTGGTGCTTCAGAGCCACGTGGCCATTGCCGTGGGCAGGCCACACTGCTGGAGCCGAAAGCCTGCCTTTGCCCAGAGATGGCAAGGAGAAGGACGCAGCAGAGAAGACCCCAAGGTGCCTCCAAAGGCTCCCTGGGGAACAAGGCCGACCCACAGACAGCAGGGGAGGCAGCGGGGCCGAGCAGCTGCCAGAACAGTAGGTACGAAGTGGGCCGCTGCCACCCGGGGCGTCAGGTCGGGCTGGTAGCAGGGACGCAGCCTGACGCTGCCAGTGGGTGGTGGAGCAGCATGGGGAAGCCGGCAGGGGCTTCTGAAGAAGAGCCTCACGGCTTGCAAAGCCCCCCTGCTAGAGGATGGGAGGGTCGCTCGGCTGAAAGCCCGGCTGCCTCTCCTGGCCAAAAGCCGGTGCGCAGCAGGGGCTTTTGGGGAGGCAGTGGCCTTGTGCTGCAGGGGTGGGAGCCCAGCCCGGCTGCATGGGGAGGTTTCTCTGCACGGGGAGGCCGAGACCCTGGGACCTGAGACTGGGCCCCTCTGGACACAGACGCCTAGTCCCGCTTGGCTGAGGGGGGCACCTGTGTGGGCAGGAGAGGGGTTGGGAGACCACCAGCACCCCCCAGAGAAGCGGTGGGGGGGCCGTGGTGGTGGCCAGCAGCCTCTGCTGCCGCCAGCTTGCTTCCTCTTCTGCCACCACAGGCCTCTAAAGCAAAGCACAAAGGGCGGGGAAAGGAGAGGGGGGACCCCTGGCATCAGCCCAGCTGGGCTCTGCCCTCTCTCCCTGCAGCTGGGATGCCCCCTGGGAGCATTCCCGAGGCTGACCTCTGGCAGAGGCCTCAGCTTACGCAGCGTGGGGGGGCGGCTCCCACGCGGGCATCAAAGCTCGGGCACTGCTCATGCTGTGGCCGTGTTCACAGGGAGAAGCTAGAGCAAAGCCCCTCGGCAGCTTCACTCCCACGCATTTATAAATGCTGGAGGCCCTCAACTTTGGTTGCGGTAGGACAAACTGCCACGTAGCCAGGCGCTCGGGTGCAGAGCCACGCCTCTGCAGGGGAAGGGTTTTTCTCCAGCTCGGGCAAGAGACCGTGAAGGTCTGGGAGGGCTCTGGGAGGACAGCCAGAGAAGGCTCCTGTGCTTCCCAGCCGTGCCGAGAGACAGCCCTACAAGAGAGCTGTGTGGTTGCAAGCGAGAACAGGCCTGCTCTCTCAGCCAAAGAGAGAGCAGGGTCCACCCCAGAAAGACTGCTGAAAAGCGGCCTTCATTTCCTCGACCTCTTTACTTCCCGGGATAATTTTCACTCCCTTTTGGAAGGCGCTCCTGGAGCCCTTCCTCTGGGGAAGAGCTGGCGGCAGCATTGAACGGCGTGGATGGAAATCGTGTTCCTCCTGGCCGCTGCTCTGTCAGCTCTCTGCCAGCAGCAGGCTTCCAAAACAGTGGCTTTTCGGCCTGAAAACAAAAATCCACCTGTGAAGGGGTTTGCCTGATCAAGACTTGCCTCATTGACAGACACAGGACTCCCTCTTTTTCAGGCAAAAGATGGCCCTGCAGAGGAGGAGGTTCTTGCAAGTCTTCTTCCTGTTGCTCCCAGTGGCTCTTGGTGAGTTTGCATGAGCAAACACGCTGGATGCCAGCTTTCTGCTGGACAGCTTTCCTCCTGGGCCAGTATGTGTGCAAAGTCCCGTGGGCCAAGTGCTTCCTGAGTGTGTCCTTGACTGGGACTTGGTTTTGGACTACCGGTAAGACTGGTAGTCTCCCAGCCGTGCGGCTGCTTGGACCGCTGGACCAAACGGCTTGCTTAGCCTGCAGGTCTGTGAGGGAAGGGTGTAGGTATTGCCAAGCCTGGACTGGGGCTTCCCAGATGGGCCGTGCGGGGAGGACTGGTGGGGAGGTACCTCTCCTAGCCCATGCAGCCTGGTCTCGGTGCTCACGGAAGCAGTGGGGGGAAGTGGGGAACGGCTCTGGGGCAACGACCACACCTGAGGGTCATGGCTGCGCAACTGTTGCCTGAAGCTCGGGGTGACGGCCCCCGGTCAGAGGCACATCCTCTCTCGGCACCCCACATTCCCCACCTCCTCAGCTGTCCTGCTGCCCCACCCCCAAGGCGCCAGGGAGGAGGCAATGCGACTGCAGGCATCGCTGGCAACCCCAGTCAAATAACTGTCTCTTGGTGATGTGAATTGCAGCTGCAGGTGTTTACTGCGGGACCTCGCTGCCAGCATGGACAGTGTGGGCAAAGGGACTGATGGAGGTCAGTGACTCTGGCGGGCCAGGCACCTCCTGCAAAGGGAGCAGTTGCTGACAGTAGCTGGGTAACTCACGGGCTCTTCTGCTTCCATGCGGGGTGACCCAAAGAAGCAGCAGCTTTTGCCGTGTCTTCCTGGGGAAGCCTCTCCCGGGAAGCTCTGGCAGCACTGGCAGTGGGTAATCTAAGGGAGTGTCCTTCCCTTCCAGGAGCTGACACGTGTGTCTGCAGCACACCTGAAGACCTGGAGGTAAGAGGCGTTTCCTGAGCTGGAACTGGGTCTGTGCAGAAGAGTGTCGGCCGACCTTGTGCTACTCATTTTCCTAACAGCCAGGGCCCCTGTACTTCCCTCCTGCCTTTGCCTTTTGCTCAGCGTGGTGAGGAAGGGAAGCAGTGTGCAATGCAGGGAAAGCACGTGTGTGTCTCCTCCTTGCTGAGGTCAGACTCTCCCCTCAGGGGATGGGCCGCTCTCTGACAAGATCTGCTCTCCTCTTCCTGCAGGAATTCGGACCCTTTGTTGGAGGAGAATATCCGAAAGTTGATAGAGGAGGTGGCTCAGCTGAGGGCAGAGATCAGCAGTGCAAAGAAGGTGAGCCAGCATTTTGGGGGAGAAGGCTTGGCTGGGCAGAAGCCCCCTGAGAAAGCACTCCTTGGGGTTGTTGTTGGGCTCAGACTGCTGACCCCGGCAACCAGCCTTTGCCAGGGGCTTGCTGGGTGAGCTCCTGTGCTGTGCGGGCCCTTCTCCAGGCCCAGTTTAACCTGGACGCTTCAGGCAACGGAGGACTCCCAACAACCTTCCCCGGGCACGCTGGCACCTCGGGCTGCCCTGGCCCCGGGCCCCTGCAGCCGTGGTGAGACCCAGACATGCTCACGGGCTCAGCCGTCTCTGGCAGAGCCTGAGCCCGTCTCCGGGCGGAGCTGGAGACCATGGAGCATGGGGACGAGGGGCTGGGGACCCTTCTCAACCCACCTTGGGGCGGTGGCCGTGGCCGCCGTGGCCACAGATACCCTCGTGGCTCACGTCAGCAGCAGCGCGTCTCTCGGCTCTGCGGACAAGGCTCGCCTTGCGTCTCTGACACTGACCCTTCCTTTGCCTCTGTGCACACTAGTAGCCATGCTGAACTGCCCGCTGACACACGGTGCTTTTCTGTGTCATTCACAGCTTTCCCGAGATAACCAGGCAGCGTCCAAGACGGCATCTGACGTGTCTATCTCAGACTGGGCCCTGAAAAGCTCTGGTATGGACACAAGCAGCCCCGTCTCTTTGCCCTGCGCTTTTCTGCAGCACTCCCCAGAGGAGGCTGCTCCAGGGGGGATGCTCTCCAATGTGGGGGGCCTAAATGCTTCATGGTGTCCAAGAGGAAGGCTGTGGAAGAGTGGCTCGCCAGACTCCCTCCCAGTCCTGCCCTTGGGTGCCTCTGGCGCTGCCCCTGCACACGTTCCTGTGCTGATGGAGGGGCTCTCTGCCTCTCCACTGCATTTGGAGAGGGAACGGCTGGGCCAGCATTTCCTGTCGTTCTCTTTGTGGTGCTGTGAGAGGAGCAGTCACACTAGGCACACAGGATGCCGTCATTGCCCTGCGCAGATGGCCACCCCCACCAACGTGGTGATGAGAACAGGACTGACAGATGTGGCACCAGAAATAGTGTCTGAGCACCCAGTCCTCCTAGTCTGTGGCCTCTTGGAGTCATCTGCTCTCCCTCCCTTACAGGTGCCACCATTGACAGTGCGGAGAACTTCCAAGACCTACACCTGCAAAGAGAATTGGGGCTACAGGGTTCTGCAGTTCTTTCCTGCCAACAACCCTTCTGATACTATTTTGCAGGTGTCGTAGCAGAAATCACTAAGTGCTGGTTTGTTTCCTTCCTTCCCGTGAAGCTACTGCCCCTCAGGGGCTCTGCCCTCAGTCCAGGGCAGTACTGCTCAAGCCCACAGTGCTGATCCTGGTTCCTGAAAGCAAAGCTCGAACACAGGGCTGGGCTCGTTAGAGATCGGTGGCTCCGCTCAGGAGAGGAACAGAGCGGAACTGCTGCATCTTCCCCACAGACCTGTGTCACAGCTGGGTGAAAGACGTTCTCGCTGGTGACCCCGCTTCCATACTCGTCCCTAACAGTGCCTTTTCACGGGGCGGGTGGGGGGAAGCCGGGAGGTGGGGGGTGCCCTGCAGAGCCACTGGGCAAAGCGGTGTTTCTGTAAGGCCCCGGACTAGGGTGAGTTCATAACCGGTATTCTCCTCTCTTCCGTAATACCGAGAGCCCTCTTGGTCAGGCAGGGAACGTGGCCTCCTGCTTCTGTCCATTTCCTCACAGGCGCCTCACGTTTGAGCTGCAATAGACGCCACAGACACACCGGCGCCTACGCTTCAAGCTGTGTGAGCAGTTACTGTGTTGGCCCCAAAGCTCTCTCACGCCTCATTGCTCTTGCTTTCCGGTTGCAGCCAGATGTTTCTCCGGGAAACTGCTGGCCTTTACAAGGGCATCAGGGCCAGGTGGTCATCAGGTTTCCAGCACGAGTCCATCTGACTGCCGTCAGCGTGCAGCACATCTACAAAGAAGCTTCTCCGCCTGGGACCGTCACCAGCGCCCCCAGAGACGTCGCTGTCTTCGTAAGTCTCTGCTGGGTGCTTCTGGCTGGCATCTGGCCCTGGGGGAAAGCCATGACAGGGACCGACTTGCTTTTGGGCATCCTCTGAGCCTTGTGTCCCGCTCTCTCCTGAGCGCTGCAGTGCCCCAGTGGGATACTTCAAGGGCTCCAGAGGTTTCATCCCTCTCAAGACTTATGCTGGACAAAGTACCTCGGGGTTCTTGACCAAAAGCCTCAAGGCGCGGAGACTGAGCTCCACGCCAGCCAGTGCTAAACTACTGTGAGAGCCCCAGGAGAGGCTGGGTAGATAACAGGGCTGATCCAGCCCATACGTGCCCTCCTTTGTCGGGACAAGTCTGAACCGCTCTCCTTGTGCTTTGCCCCTGAGGGAGTGGATGCGGACGGAGAAGAGGAAACTCTGCTTGGGACGTTCACGTACAACGTGGAGAAAGAGGCCATTCAGACCTTCCCTCTGAAGGTACAGTCCACGCACGGGGACAAGATGCCAGGGAGCAAAACAGGCTTGCCTGCAAAGTCCATGGCAGGAGGAGTGTGAACGCCTTCTCCCTGGGCACGGGGGCCTGGACCACCACCACTGAGAGAGACCTGGCGGGGCTGGGAGGGCTGAGTAGCATTTAAATGGTGGCGGTAGCAAAAGGGGAGCAAGGGCAGGGTCACGCCCATGGGAGCACGAGTCCTGAGAGATCCCTGGCTGCAGCCACTTCTTCAGCAGAGCCAGCTGCGCACGCGGCCGCTCCACCAAACAATGTCTTGGTGCCATGGAGAAACAGAGACGGCCAGTGGCAAAAGCTGCCGGGCGGCACGGTCGCTCCATCCTGTGGCCTGCTGGCAGGCTGGACAGTGGCCTCCCCTCCCAGCACAGCATGCCCCTTCTCTCCTGGTGCTCTCCGGCCTGCCAGGAGGAAGGCAAGCAGAGCGGGCAGCGGGAGCTTGGTGGGGTTGCACACCAGCTGCCCCACGCAGAAGAGCACCTCCCCAGCACCTCTGTTTAGCGCAGAGCCAGCAGCAGAGGGAAGGGGCAGACGGAAGGGAGACGCAGGCCCCCAGCCGGGCCGGCATGCAGAGGATGCCAAGTGCTTTCCCGCTTTCCGTGTCCCCAGCCTCCCCAGCAGCCCCAGTACCAGCAGCGAGCGCCTCAGATGGGGGCAGCTGCTCCCACCCCCGTTTGGAGCGTGTTCCTGAGCAGGAGCAGGGGTGGCAGGGGAAGATCCCTGCCTTGGTGCTCTTAACACCTCCATTTCCTTTTCCCTCCTTCCTTCACAGAAGGCACCGTTTCCCAGAGCCTTTTCATATATCAAGCTTCTTGTGGAGAGCAACTGGGGAAACCCAGCGTACACCTGTATTTACCGAGTGGAGGTTCACGGGATGATGGAACAACCGGAAAGCCTCAACTGAAACCAGAGAAGGACAAAAATAAAAAAGAAGAAAAGCAGAGGGGAATAAAGAAATGATGTGGCAGTTCAGATCAGTGTAGAAGATTTGTCTCCAAAGTGTGGGGTTCGCAAGAAGACCCCTGTCCTGGGTTGAGTGAGTGGTGGAGTTTTTTGGTGGCAGGGGAGGGGGCTATCGGGGCGGCCCCCTGTGAGAAGCTTCTCGAAGCTCCCCCAGCTCCACGTCAGCTCCACTTCTGTTTGGGAAATTGAGCCAATCGGCTGCGCCTCTGCGATAACGTATTTAAGAAGGGACGTGGTGACGTGCAGTCGGACTTGGGAGGAGGAGTTGCTGCAGCTGCATGAACACCAAGGTCAGTGGAGGAACGGAGGAAGAAAGGAGGGGGGAGGTGTGCCGGAGCAGAGATCCCCCTGTATCCTGTGGTGAGACAGCAGGGCGCCCCCCCCCCTGCCACCCATGAAGATCTACGGTGGAGCAGACATTGATTTACAGCCTGTTGTTCCTGCTCAGCTGATCAAGGTTCTGTGCCCGAAGAAGGCCGGGGTCTCATGGGAAAAGGCAGCCCCGCTGCTGTAATTCAGTGCTGGGAGGATTGCAGCATGCGGGGGAGTCCCACGCCGGAGCAGCTCGGGAAGGGCTGCAGCCGTGGGAGAGAATCCAGTCGGAGGAAGTTAGTGACCCATGACGGAGCAGTGTGGGGAACGCTGTGGCCCATGGGAGGAATTCAAGTCAGAGAAAGTTTGTGGAGGACTGTCTCCTGTGAGAGGGGGACCACGATGGAGCAGGGGGGAACAAGTTTTGGACACTCCCCTCACCGAAGATGAAGGAAGTGGCAGCACTGACTGCACCCCCCATTCCCTGCCCCTGCGCCCCTGGGGGAGGAGGTAGAGATATCGGGAGCAGAGCTGAGCCCGGGAAGAAGGGAGGGGTGGGGGGAAGGTGTTCTCAAGATGTGGCAATGCTTCTCACTGTCCTACTCTGTTATGTGTTGTTAGTGTCTGTAATAAATGTATGTTCTTTTTTTCTTCCCCTAACGAGTCTGCCTTTTGCTCGTGATCATAAAAGGGGGATTTTTCCCCATCCCAGTCCTATCTTGAACCCCAAGCCTGGCTCTCTGTCCCTTCTCATTGCCGGAGGGGAAGGGAGAGAGAGCTGCTGCATTGTGGTTGGCTGCCAATCAGGCCTAAACCACGACAACCCCTCAGGGGGAGGGCGGGAACTGGCATCCCCACAGGGACACCGCGGGGGGGGGGATCCACGCAGGGATCCGGTGGAGGACACTCAACCTGCCACTCAGGGACCTGGTGGGGACCCCCAGCAGGGTCCGGGAGTGGACCCCCATACTCCACCCAGGCCACCCCCACAGGGACCTTGTGCAGGACCCTCGACTGCCCCACACAGAGATCCCCATCTTGGGGCCCTCGCCCAGGAACCCCCCACCAACCCTGCAGGAATCTCGCAGAGGCACCCCCACGGGGCTGCCCGTGGCAGGGACCCTTTGGGGATTGTCCCGTTCTGATATCGGGGATGTCCTGATTCGATATCAGGGAGGGTTCTTAAACGATCCCAAGAGCGAGATTAAGACACAAACGAGGTCAGATGCCGGACAACCTTGTGATCTTTATTAAACAAGCGGCTGATAAGAGTGATAGGACAGGGAGAAAAAGGAAGAGAAAGTCAGAAACCATAAGCTAGAAAACGGTAGAGATGCGGCAAGATTAATCACCACCAACACGATCCCGCGATGTCCCGTTGGCTCAGTCTCGGTGCAATCGATGCTGGTCCAAGCTCCAAGCTCCGCCGAAGTCCACGAGATGTTTTGGGAGCCCACACATGCACACACACGCACATGCACTCACACACACATATGCGCACGCACACACATACGCGCATACACACACGCACCAGTACAGAGTACGCAGTCCTTTTATCGCCTCAGTCCCCACGATTTCCCGGAAAAGTCCGCCCACTTCCACAGAGCTCATTGTAATATGTGCCGCCCCGTGGACCTCCATGCGCGCATGCCCCGGTGTTCATGGGGGTCTCGCTGGCGAGGGTCGGCCCACGGTGCCTTCAGCCTCTGCACATCTTCCTCGCCTCAATTTCCTCCCGACCCGGCTCGCGCGCAGGTGCAGTCTGGCTGGTACTGCCAGGGACGTTGTTATTTGCGCTTCGGGCAGACGTCGTGGTTTCTTCGGGGGCTACCCGTCTCCTTCAAGGCGTACTCTGTCGCATCAACAGGATGCGGAGGCCAGGAAGTGGTAGTGGTGCAGCAGCGATGTTGAGGCAAACAAAGTCCTACACAGTCTCCTACAGTAAGTACCTGGAAAGTGGAAAAATATCAGAAAAACACAGCAGTGTTTCAACTGGCTCCTACTTTTCCAAAACAGAGTTAATTCTGGCCAGGGCAAAGCCTGGGCAACACCTGCCAAGGAACTGAAAACCCAGACAGGGAAAAACAGCACTGGTCATAGCAGGTAGAACTGCTGGCCATCCACCACAGCCTGCATGTGTAAATAAATAGAAACCTGTGTATGTATATACACAAACACACATGCATATAGGTGAAAGAATGAGCTAGACTGAGACCGTGTCTGCTCTGCAGTGGACACATTCATTTAATTACATTCACTTTTATTCTTAATTTGTTTCCCCCCTCCCCTGAAATTGCCACCAAACCCCTTGTACCTCTCACTCCCAGAGTCAACTACAAGAAAAAAACACACACAGAGAAAAAAAAAAAAAAAAAAAAACAAAAAACCCAAGCAACCCCTGTGCTGTTGTCAAGATGTCTGTAATAAACTGCTACTGCTCTACTTAAGGAAAGCAAAGCTAAAGAGAACCCAGCCTCCCTGAGAATCCGAACCAGCCCCACAGCCAGTATCCAGCCCCACGGCCAGTATCCAGCCCCACGGCCAGCAATCCAGCCCCACGGCCAGCATCCAGCCCCACGGCCAGCATCGTTTCCCGAGCGAGGGCGGGAGCCAGCCGAGGAGCAGCGGTCCCCCCCCGGGCCGGCTGTAAGGCTGGGGTAGCCCTGGGCCACCAACACAAAGGCCGGGCAGGTGATGCAGAGACTTTTTTTGAAAAAAAAAAAAAGATTAAAATAAATCCACACTGTATTTCCTTCAGGGCCAGTACAACGATGCTCGCTGCCCCCCCCCGGAGGGGCAGTGCCCTACAAACGCACCTTCCTCGTGCCACTGCAGCAGCACAGCGCTGCTGCTGTCCGAGGGGCTCTCAAAGCCTTTGTAGATGTACTTCATCAGCAGGTCGACACCGTTCTTGTCCAGCGACTGCACCGCCTTCTCAGTATCGTTGGCTTTGAAAGAGATGAGGACCTTCAGGACAATACTTTCCGCGCGAGCCTGTCAACAAACAAGGCAAGGAAAGATACATTCACTCTTGAATAAGGTGTGTTCAAATATTACCCATCAATCCCATAAACAAAGCTAGGTATTTTTTTTTTTAAAACAATTCTAAAATCTGTTTGAATAGGGCAGTTTGCACACAAAGCTTGTGATGGTAATGTATAATGGATATGTCCTCCCAGTGATAAACAGCATAAAAGAGTTTAAGGCATTTGTCCTGCTCTGGGGTTTCTGCCCCTCTGGTGGCATTTGCAATTCGCCACCTATTACATGAGTTTACAGCTACACAATATAAATTTTCACATCGAAACCCAAGGTCTGGTAAACTCCAAAAGAATTAGAAGAATAAAGTACTTGCCACCAGAGCCTTTTCCATGCCTTTGCACTGTATAATGAGCTACAAGTATTCTATTCCATGCAAATGCCATTAGCCAGCCTGGAAGAGGTGACTGCTGGAAGCCACATGTTTTCAAGAGAGTCAGCTGTCCCAGGCACGCAGGATGCAACCTGGCAGCATTAATATTCTGCACTAATAACCCTTTGCAAGTTGATCTGGATGTCACTGCAAACCCAGGAACGTGTGTGGCATGATTACAGCGGCAGATTAGCCACGTAATCAGCAAAAAGCAGCTCTTCCTGTTCATCCATCACTAACTCGGGGAGGGTGAAAGAAAAAGGTCTTGGGTTTGTTGGACTTTTGAATGATTCCATTATAGAAATGCTTCAAGTAGCTTCCTCCTCCAGAAATTACAGGTGTTAGTGTTCCCGTTCAATTTTACATCCCACAGCTGCTTGGCTTAGCGAGACCCCACGTGAACAACTATAAGTAAAAACATAAAAGTTCCATGAGATCAAGTGAAAATGAAGCCAAACATTACAATTCAGTCACTCTGCCCTCTTCAATTCCACCTGTCTTCCAAGCATATTCTGAAATACATCAATACACATCTAATGGAAACAAGCCGTTAATGTGGGGACAAAGCTGCTCCATCTTTCGTACAGCACCATTTGTAACAAGCAGCTGGATCTCAGAACCCCCTCTAAAAACCCTCAGGAAAGGGCTGGGGCTAGCTGAAAAAAAAATCTCCACTGCTGGCCTGGTGAGCAGCACGGAAACGTGCCCGTGGGCCTCATCTCGAGCGGGGAGAGCAGACCTCCACAGGCGCTCACCAGTCAGGCAGTTCCACAGCTCATCTGCCTGTTCCTCTCGCTGCTGCAGTCAGGAGCCATTCCAGGTTTTTTCTGGGCAGATTCAGAAATACATGCAGGCAGCAGGCTCCTATAGTCTGTCATGGGGGGAGGGTTTGCATTTTCCGAGGTTTTAACGGCTTCATTTTGATTGGATGCAATAACCAGCAGTTCTTCCTTTTTTGTAGGTTCACGGTCTGGCGGAGCGAGCAGAGTTTCCTTAGTCAGAGGTGACAACTGCAGTTGTGGTTCCCCGACCGTTCGGCGCCGACTCCATCCGTGTGCTGCCAGGGCTGGGTCAGACACGGGCACCCGGCGGCGCGCGGGGTTAGCCAGGGCACGGCACCCACACCCAGCGCGGGTCGGGAGAGCGCGCCAAACCTCACCGAGCACCAGCTAACGGTGTACGGACAGGTGGCATCCGAGCTGCGGGATTTGGGGTAAAATTAAAACACCGGGTGTTTAGCAATCAGGGAATACCCTAAACCCAGCTTCCTCAAAGTACGCCCTGGCAGGGTTGGTGGGGTCAGGGTTACAGACACAGGGAAGGATTTTTAAGGAGTGACCCCTGAGTGAGTTTGCTGCCATTTCACCTTCACTGCCTGGTTCTTTGTGTTGATCGGAGGGTTCTTCAGAGCCGCCTGCAGCGCGGCCATCGTGTTCCCGGTGCCAGAGGGTTAAGGACCAGACACCGAGAATTCCCAAGTCGGCAGCAGCAGCCCCAGCACGGCGATGCCGCTCGACCGAAAACGCTTCGGGTTCAGCGGCTGCAACGCTTCCCTCAGCGGATCGCACGGATTACCCCCTTCCCGCCCTCCTGTCAGCACACGGACGGGCACGGACTGTTCCCCTAAAGCCAGCCCCGGCCTCACCCGCACCCCGCACCCCGCTCCCCGCCGCGGCCGCGCCTCACGGGACTACTTGTCGCCCGGCGGCGGAAGGATATTGTCGCAGGCGCGAGACCACCTCGCCCTCATCGGGCCCCGCTTGCCCGTCGCCTCCTTCCTCCTCATCCACGAACTTGTTCTCGTCGTACTCGCCCACGTCCACCCGGCGGAACCGCGCCGATGACACCGTGTGCTTCGCCATCACCGCCCCTCGGCCCCCCCCCCCCCGCCGCTCCCCCCGCGCAGCCGCGCGCTGAGGGGACGGGGCCGCTCCCGCCGCGCGCTGAGGGGACGGGGCCGCTCCCGCCGCGCGCTGAGGGGACGGGGCCGCCCAGCCGCGACGCCAAGGGGCGGGGCGGAGCGGCGGCTGCCATTGGTCGGCTGCCAGCGGGGGGCCGTTCCCCGGGCAGATCGGCGGCTCCCATTGGTCGGCGGCCAGCGGTGGGAGGGGCGTTGCCCGGGCGAGGGGCTCAGCGTCCGGTCGCCGTGGTTACGGACGCGGCGTTCCCGCCCAAGTCCCAGCGGTCGCGGATCGGGCCGGTGCCCCCAGACGCGGTCGCCGCCGGGCGCCGGGCGAGCGGGCGGGTCTCCTGGCCGAGCCCAGTCAGCGAGCCTTCCCCACGGACCCGGAGGCAGTGCGCCATGCCGTTCGGCATGAGACTAGATCGCTCTTTCCGACGGGTACGAGCAAGGCAGGAGCCCACCCCCCTCTCCTCACAGTCCCGGGGCGGGGGGGGGGGGGGGGGGGGGGGGCGGGGGACGGGGGGGCACGGAACTTGGGGGAGTGCCAACGGACGGGGTGCCCGGGCTCTGAGCGCGGAACTCCGAGCTCTAAACACCGCTTTGTTCCCCCAAGAGTTAAAAAAACAGCACTGGCTTCACGTTTCTTGTCAAAAAGAAGGGATCGCCCCCACACGCCAGCGCGGACGGCTGCCCGCGGCCGTGCCGGTGAGCGTTTTATCCGAAAGCGTAGAATGAGTATGGCCTAATTCAAGAAAGCTTTTCGAAAAAAGCGCCTAGGCGTTGTAAAAGTCAGCGATCCGGTGGATTCCACCACAGTTCTGCCTCTGCGATGC